TTAGCAATGCAGTTGAATCAAGGAAAATTTGAATATAATGGATCATGCGGGTGAGTGATATGATTTAAGCTGCTGTCACTGTGTATCACAATCCTTTACCATGGTTTAATAAAATTTTGTCACTATTAATTATGTGTTACAAAAGAAAAATAGGATGCTAGGTGAAGAGTAGAAATTAGCAGAATTCAGGGAGCATTATCCCCCGTAAGGAGGTATTCTAATGAATATGGTTTTTAATTATGCCCAGTTTTTTTAAATGAGATAGAAGAGGCTTTGTGTGCAAATTATAAAGATCAATATGCTGTTATTTAAATACATCTTCAGCTTCTGTTTTCAGTCTTTCTGTGCAGATATGCCTCAGAATGGAGATTCATTGCACAATTCACGGAATAGCCGAATTTACTTGGACAGATTGAGTCTTAATACATGGGGAATATTTTTTTAAGGTGGAGGCTCTAGTTGGAGCACAGATTTCACAGAGAATGCTAAAATGCTTTATCTGTCTAAGTTCTTGTTCATGACTTTTGCATGGAAAAGGATGCTCAAGTGATGCTAATAGATTTTTCTAAAATATTGAATTTATGCCTTAATAGCATAAATTGTTCATTTTCATGCTGGTAAAAGAAGAACAGGTAACTCCTAGCTTCTGCAGTTCTTGTGTCAGTAGGCTGGAAACAGAGGCTAAGGATGTTTCTGATAGTTCCCTTCTGCCCATAACCTACTTGAAATTAACAAAATATTATAAGTCACATTTATAATGTTAGAAAAATGAGAAGTGTTATTTGTTGGAATTTTTCCAGCATTTAAAAACTATTTCTGAATTCTGTCTAGGCCTTTATAACATTGTGTACGTGATTCACTATAGAGACTAAGTATGGATAAAAATTGATCTTCTAGCAGCTTTGTCTGTCAGGGTTGCAGAATTAGCAAGTGGGCTGACCGTCTAGTTACATGTTTTCTTTCACCAGTGGGATGAACTCCTGTTTCATTGTGATGGCAGAATCCCTGGGTTTTGATTCATCAGGGCATGTATTGGCTTCATTGATATGTTGATCCAGTGTGTAGTCCTTAGGGATGTATTGTAAGTGTTATTATGGTAGTACCTTTCATGCTACTATAATTAACAGTCTGTCAGTACTGACATTATCAGCTGTTTCCCCCAAGGTTTCATAACCATGGGGAAAAAATTAGCTTCAAGCTGAAATTTATTGAATGAGTCTTGACTGTAAGGAACTGCCTCATTTAAAAAAGTAAAATTGAAAAATCCCTTTGTATTTTTCCAAAATGTTAAGGAATTAAATGAGTGCCTATAAATTTTACTGAATGATAACTCGCTATATTTTTTAAATGTATTATTCAGTTGTTTTGGAATGTCCTTGGTTATGTTAAATTTATTTTTACCTTGCAATCCAGGGTTGATTTCATCTCTCACAGCTGGTACTTTAAAGTGCAAATTAACATTTTTCTGTGTTCTGGACAACCGTAATACTTCCTTTTACTTCTCACACTTGCAGCTAGAATGATAGTCTGTATTTTGCAGTGCTGTAGGAGAGTTCATTGTTTAAAGCTAGAACATCCCTTTCATTTGTATTTAATACAATTTTATTTTCCACACAAGAATAATCTTCTCCTTTTGTTTTTCTTGAAATAAGGTATCTACTTAAACCAGATTTCATGCGGCGACCAGATCGAACATTTGACCCATTCTCTGAAACTCCTGTAGATGGTGTAATTGCTGCAACATGTTCTGTACAGGTAAAACCAACAGACAACTGTCATCATATCACATCTTAAATCACATTTAAATGTCAACAGAAATAGGATATCTACAGAAAATGCGTTTGGATTGTGTAGATTTTATCAAATTGTTTCAGTTGGAGGTTTTTTAATTGCTGTTGCCTGGTCTGAGTGGAATGTGATAGAATTAGATAGTTTTTTTATTACACATTACTAGTGAATTCTAACACCCCTCATGGTCTTTCTGAAATACATCAGCCCACACAAATGCATAAATGAGTGAAGTTAATTTCTGCGTACAGTATGAAATTATACATCACTCTTTACCATAGAGCAAGGAGGAATATGGGCACATGTGGACAGGACATTTTCAAAGTAAGTAGAGAAAAATGGTTCATGTGATGAAAGTCCTTACTCTGGAGTTATCTGTGAGGAACAAAGACCATAAAACATCTGTTGTAGTTCTAAGGCATGGTTAGGTATCATATTTTGGACAGAGGCTGACAATTGTAAAACCTCTTCTGTGACTTGACACTCTGCTCTCTGCTCAAATACAATGTGTGCTGCTTAGCAGAAGACTTGAGCTTTCAGTTAGTGCTTTCCATGTGCTGCATTTAAATTTCAAACTCTCTCCAACCAAGCATTCCTTGTACATTCTAGACATTTAACTAAGTTTCATTTGCACCTCCAGAAGAATTAACATGTTTTATTCATGTTGTTTTTCTTTAATGACAGTATAATCCCTCCAAGGAGGAAGTGGGATCTAGTGGTGAGAACATAAGTTCTAAGTGTCACTAGAAATAGTTCTCAGATCATGTATTTTGCCAGTTACTTTTCTTCTGTGACTAAAAGCTAGTATAAAATTCCATATCAATTCTGTAACTAAGGAGTCGAGTGGACAAAAAGCCACTGATGACATCCCTCACCTGCATAACTTTTCAGATTTATTATCCATAGTGTTCCCTGGAAGAATGTTAGGTCCTGAAAACAAAGTGATACCAAATGAGCTTGAAAAATCATGTTTCAGATTTTCTTCTTCCCTCCTTGATTTTAGTAATTAAAACATCAGTTGTATTTTTTACTTATATATCGTTCTTGATGGAATAAAAATTTTCCCTGGAGTAATCACCTGCTGTGGCTAGATTAATCTTGGCTTGGAGTGAAATTGCAACGAATCTTCATATATGTATATGCATATATAAGGGAATCATCTGAGGTTTTTGGTTGGTTGGCTTTTAGGAATCCTACACTTTCCAGACACATAATATGGAGTCAGACCAACAAGTGATTAGTTTAAAACCTTTACCTAAGTGAAACAGAGTGATAGTTTCCTTTCACCGCTTTGTAGTCAAAATATATAGCAGAAGAAAGTGCTTCCAAATAGAAGGTTTAAAGTTGTGGAATAGCAGTGCCTGATCTGGTTGTTTCATTCAGTGTTTTTCATTAATATAGTGTATACTCCTGTGAGACATTGACTAATTGGAGTGGCTGAATTAAAGCTGCTAATACTACAGCACAGTAATTTCAAATGAAGGATATATTTAAAGTCTTATCATAAAAGCTTTTCTAATTTTGGCACTAAATTGGCCGTTTTTATATCAGGAAATAAACATACCTGTTCTGTATTCAGACTACTGTCAGTAAAAAAATGACCAAGATTTCAAATATTCATACTTTGTATTGCTTTTCCTTACTGCTGTGTTGTGTTGCAGGTAATATCTGGTCAGTTCTTATCAGACAAAAAGATTGGTACGTATGTAGAAGTGGACATGTATGGCTTACCCACGGACACGATACGTAAAGAGTTTCGAACACGCATGGTGATGAACAATGGTCTGAACCCTGTTTACAATGAAGAGTCATTTGTATTTCGAAAGGTAGGACATTTGGAAAGCAGTTTGTGGTTGCCAGCACTTTTGCACATCAGTTTCCTTGCTGCTTGAGCCACCCCTCCCTCCTTCAATCTGACTGCTCACATGGATGAGGACTGCTCCCATGAAAAAGGGTTTGTAGGGTCCCTGTTTTCTACAGTAAACAATGTGAAGCTGAAATAAGCTTTGAAGAGGTTGTTTGGTTTTGGTTTGGGGTTTTTTTTCAATTTTGCTTCATTTTATTTTTCTAATGGATAACCTCTGTAGCTGTTGCATGAATTTTTTTTTTGTTGTTTTTGTTTCCATTTGGCTTTTTCCTCCCCTTTGCTTCCTCCTTTCACTTGGAGGTAGCCACCTTCTCTGTGACCATGCCTGTGTTCAAGGTATGCAGTCTGCTCAGAATGAGCCCCCGCTGGTGGACACCATCATTCCTTGGAGATTTCTTCTTCCCTGCCCTGGCAGTGTCTGCTATCTTGCACTGTTCCTTCAGCCCAGAGGGCAGGTGAGATGCTGCATCCAAAGCTAAGGTCAATGTCATTACATGGAAAAATTGGAAGGGTGCTGTGTTCCTCAGACGTGTTGCCAGCTCCCTCCTTCAGTGGTCCATGTGCATCATGTACCTTTTTCTTTATTTTTTTGCAGTAACAAAAGAAAAACAAACCTTTTTTTCTTGATATGGGGGATTTAAAGAGAGAGATCATTCGTCCATGTTCAGTTTTTATCTCTCAGTCTTTATATATATATGATAGACATACATTTATTTTTTTTCTGTTGGTTGGAGTTTCAGTCAGACTACATGTGCTAGCAGTGCTGTCTTTGATAACATCTGTTTTGCTTATACCTGTTTTGTTGTCGTTCAAAATTGTTCCTCTTTTATTCCAAAGTTTAGGCTTCTATTCCAAATTTCAGACTTTGCCTAGTGGTGATGACACTTCACGCTTGGGTATATTACACACTTAATCTGCTTTCTTGACAGCACAGCCAGTTTTTAATAGAAATTTAGTTAATGCAAGAGTTTTTTGTGGACTTGAAAATGTTCTGGAATATATTCTTCAAGTGCTTTCGTCTCTGTATGAGGAAGCACAGAGAAGATTCTTAGGTGCAGTGACAGGCAGTCATGCTGCCCATGGCTTGCTGGCCATATGGCCAACATCTGCTGCTTTCTGTTTCTTAAATCAAAAGGGCTATAAATTACAGGGTGCAAACAGCTTCAGTCTGAAGGGGGTACCTGTGTGTCATGGCATGGGTACAGTGGCAGATGGCAATATTTCTCTGACTTTCTACTCTACTCTGCAATAAGCAATTACATGGTCGCACATTCTCTTGAGCTGTAAGTCAGCCAAGAGATTATTTTCCTTCATCTCAGACCCTTATCATATCAGGCTTATCATTGTAATCAACATACATTGAAGACCAAGGAGGTGAGTGGCATAAACACAGCAGAAACAGCTCCTCTAGCAGGAAGAAGTGAAGGTATGGGGTGCACAGTGCTAAAGTGTCATGAGGGTGGAAGTGCCTGCCAGGATAACACAGAACAACTTAATGGAGAGGAAACAATCAACTTAGTCCCCATATCTGCTCCCTAGCAAATCTGTATCAGAGACCATCATGTAATAAAAATGTGCTGATCTGTGGCCTGTAGAGGAGAGGTCTTACCTGCCCAATTTGGGTTACAGTGTTCTCCTCAAGCTGTTTTTTAATCCTACACAGTTGCTCTCAGATACTGTGATTGTTCTTGTCATGTTTTCTTGTTTTTATTTTAATTAAAATAAAGCTTCAGTCATTCTAACCTGGGTTATGTGTTGTCCCTCTGTTGTGTAACGGGGAGGACGGGGTGAGTGCTGGGGGTAACCTGTGCTGAGAGTGCTAAGTTGAAACCAAATAAAGCAGGATATCCATGAATTGCTGAGGTGGGTTCAGAGACTAGAACCATAGTTTATTTTATGCCCTAAGACAGAAAATGAAAGTGTCAGGGTAGTCTAAGGGAGACAGTAGACACAGTTTACTTAAGTCTTCCCTTTTGTCCTGTAAGTATTGGTAAATAGTGCTAGGTAGGGAAGGAGAGGAAAGTATTTCCTGGCACACAGTTGGAGCAGGCTGGCAGAGAAGCTGCACCTCTCAGGCTGTCTTGTCCTCACTGCTCCATGCACAGAGGCAGCACCAGGGAAGGCAGGGGATCTCTTTGTTACTGTTTTGGTGGGTCCAGATGGGGACTGACAGATGCAGATAGCTGGCAGCAGCCCTGCTCACCATGCATACCTTGAACCCTTCATGTGGTGGGTGCAGCACACGCACGTCTGCTGGCAGCACATCATGTCAGCAGGTCTGTCACCTCTGTCTGCTTCTCCCCTTTGTAGATCTTGGAGTTCATACATCCCCCATCTGCTTGTGCTTGCACTCTTTCTTGCCCTTCTTTGCCCCCTTCTTCATTGCCTTTTTGGATACATCCCAAATCCCATTTTTCTGTCATAATTCCTCCTGATTCAGCACTCTCTGCCCTTGGATTGCTGCTGTATCTGTCATTTCCCAGGTAGTACCTACCTGCCCTCTTATCAATGTCACCAGTCTTCAGTAATGAAAAATAAACATGCAAAATACTTAGCTGCTGTAACTGAAATCTATCCATTATTTAGGGTGAGAAAAGCTTTTCTAGGAAATATTCCTTTTAAAGTGTGAGGTTTGCAGGGAATGACCTGATCTTACAGTGATGATAGTCTGTTTCTGGCATACAAAGTGAATGGTTCACAGATGGGGGAGGTGGGGAGAGAGCTACTATATTACAGTCACTGAATTGTCTTCATTTTGTGGCTTTTCAGGTTATTCTCCCTGATCTTGCTGTCCTGAGAATAGCAGTGTATGATGACAATAACAAGTTGATTGGTCAGAGGATCCTACCTCTGGATGGGCTGCAGGCAGGTTACAGACACATTTCCCTTCGGAATGAGGGCAACAAACCACTCTCTCTTCCAACGGTTTTCTGCAACATTGTGCTTAAAACATACGTGCCTGATGGGTTTGGAGGTGAGATAAACGTGTATCTCTGTGTGCTTTAGCTCTTGAGTGTTGGTGTGGAAGTACTGCAGTGTCAGTGTGCCAGCCAGGAGCACACAGGCAATGCTGGAGGATTGGAAAGAGTCTGTATTTTAACTCCTTTGGAAACTGCATGTTGAGTTAAGAAATCAGCTCTGTGACCAAGTGCCTGCCTCAGTGTTAGTGGTAACGATACGTATATGTTAAATGGCAAAATAGTATGGAAAACAAGCTAATGGGAGTTAGCTCAATTTGATTTTCTCTGTTGGCATTTTAGGAAGATTCTTCTTTGGACTTTTTTTTCCTTAGTTACGTGTTTGTCTGACATAAATATCTGTAAGGCTAAAATGTACTTTAGCTATCTTATTTGGCCTATAGGTAAAACCAATTTCTGCAGAATCTAGACATGTTTTTTACAAACAAACCCACTTTAATATTCTTGAGAATATTGGCAGATTGTTAGCATCGAAAATCTTTCTTCATTTTTCTCTCCCAGTTTTATATATCTTTAGTCTAGTTTTGGGGTTTTCGGGGAAAGTTACTTTTAATGTGAACCATTTCCATGACCAGGTTGGCAGGGTCATGGTCGTTTATACTGAACAGTGACAAATTGCCACAGGTGCATAGGATGAAACAGCTGAGAATAATCATTACACCACTTAAGCTGTGTAATGGGTAAGTTCACTCTGAGGGTGTACCTTGGGGAAAGGTGTTCACTGCAGAGGGAATTTGCTTGTACATCAGACAATATATGAAATTTTAAAAATTGTAAAATAGGAATTGTGCTAAATGTTAGTGCTCTGACTCTGCAGCAAAATAAAGTTCACCTTAGAGTTGACTGGTGAAAGATTATTGATAAAAACATTTCAGTGAAACCTGCTGTCTGTGCAAAGAATAACTGATGCTTCTTGGAGTGTCATTTCTGTAGCACAAACAGAGAAAGGGAAGGCTCACCTAACCTATTAGTACATCTTCAGGTGTGTGTGTGCGCTGGTATTTATCCAGACTTTAAAAAATTAACAGGCTGAGATTTCACTAACAATATTTCATGGAAAAATTACAGAAGCATTTGTGTTGTTCATAGTGCAGTCCTGGTTTCTGGCAGGTCAGCTGGAGTTTTGCCACAGGTCTTGGAGCAGTACCATGCCTTTTTGCAGCATGATTCTTTGTCAGTATTGAACTTCAGGGACTTTGTCTCAAGAGAAATGTAAGCTTCTGCTTAAACTTGAGATTCTCAAGGGTAGTTGAAACATCAATCAAAGGGACATCTAAGTATGCACTTTAATTCTTTCCTGAACTGAAGCTTTTGACAGTAAATGACTTAGTTAAAATGTTTTCTATACTAAGGACATGCTTCTGATTTGGGATTGATGTTTTACGATACCACACTTTTTCTAAGAATAGAATTTAAATTTTGCACTGAGTTTAATGTGGCTCAAGCTGCTGAGTGTGCTGGTCACATAGGGAGAAACGATTTTATTTTTCTTTTAAACTGCATTATACAAATTCAGAAGTGAAAGAATTGTTTTTCAAACAATTGGAACACCAGTTTAGAGTTTGCAAATTGTGTGCAGTTCAGTACTGGTTGATATGATATACTGTCAGCATTTCTATAGGTGGTTTATTTGGTAGAGATAGAAAAACATTACTACCCCTAAGTAACAGTACTGTTATAGTAAAATCCTACTGGAATGAGAGAACTGGTGGTCATTGTTTACTGTCAGCAGTGGGAAAAACAGGCTCCATATTAATAGGACCTAAATGAGTTCAATTATTACTTCTCTCCCTTCCCACATAGGTTTGATGTGTCTCATGTATTTTTGTCATTGGTATAGAGCAGCAGCATGATGAACAGCTGAGAAATAACTTTTGACACTCATGTGGAATCATTAATATTCTGTTGGCATGTGGTTTTTAATTACTTATCATCTGCATTGAACTTCTCATTGTTTTATGAGCTATCATTAGGATCTCTATGGTTGTTTTAGCAAACATGTAGGAAGGTAGAGCTCAATTCAGTAGCTGCCTTCTTTCTTCATCATTTCTGTTCTTTTTTAACCTGTGTGAGTAAGATTTAAAAATGTGCCCTGAATAATAACTAGAATGGGTGATGCATTGTAGGCTTTAAAAGATGCTTGTTTTTATTTTTTATATAGCTTAATAATGTCTTGTGGTTTATTTGCATCAGCTACTCTGTTCCAAATAAAACACAATAGTGGCACAAATTGATGCAAATGAAGTAGCATTCTCCAAAGAGAAGCATCTATAATAGAAATCTGTACGTAAGTAAGCATGGCTGCTTAGGTTAGTGATTAGAGTCCTCTGTAGTGTACTCTTCCAGTGACTTTTGTAGTTTTATATTTAATTTCAATTCTTCTACAAAATGCTGTTCCATACCCCCACCTTACTTCACTGGGGAGAAAGAAGAACGTAAGCAGAGGACAAATGACAGTGTGAGAGGCAGTGATGACTCATATCTCCCTTGCAGAATTGCTGAGCCTTTGGTGATGTGCTAGTGTGGTTAGTAACACAATTTACAAAGGTCTTGCTCTCCCAAACATGTTAGTCATTTTTACCTAGAAGCTCGTGATAATCGGGTCCAATTTTCAAATGACGCATCATACTGGCAGGGTAGCCCTGGATTTTCATTGAAAAGTGCATGCCAAGGACAAAAAGACATGCTTAATAAGTTAGGGAAAGGAGAAAGTCAGTGCTAAGCTACAAGGCCATTGTTAGGGCTAAAAATAAAGTCTCCATAGTTTTCATATATATTTGAAGTAAGTTCAGAAGATTCATTGGGTCACAACAGCTCTTGGAGATGACCTATTTGTGTAGATAAACAGAGCTGTCAAGGGTAATGCGTAGTATTTAATACAACTTTTGTTGGAATGGAAGACCTGTCCGTGTTTTTTTTGCAAGAGAAATACATCCAGTGACTTCAGAAGGGCATTTAATAGAACAGCTTAGGTTGGAAGGAAGATGATACAGTCCAGCCTGTACTTCGCATGAGAAAGATAGCAAGTTTCCTCCCAAAGCTTTTGATGGGTTGGATATTTTCACTTTTTTTTTGACTGTTGAAGATAAGCATGATACTACTAAGTGTTACCATGTCATGTCTGAGGTTCAGATACTGGTCATTATGGTCCCTAGAAAAGCCATTTCACAGCCTGTCATGTTTCAGACATGGTGCCTCACAAAGGTGAATGAGAACAGATTTACCTGATTGCTTTAACCACCCTTCTGAAACTGCTCTTTAGATAGGAAATACACTGGCATGGCCTGCAATTCCCTGCAGTCCCAAGTCAGTCAGCACCCCCTTGAATAACCAAGGGACAAAGTTGTTAGTGCTTTGTGGCTCAGGAGATCCCATTCTGGTCTCAAATTCTGCTGTCATCAACTAGGAGGAAGTTTGGGCAACTTTGGTCTGATGGAGTCAATGGATTTTTCCTAAGTAAGGTACCTGGAATAATACCACACCCTTGATGCATTGTAAACTGATTCATGTTCCTCGTGTGTTCAAGTGCTGTGGTCATGAGCACTTTCAGCCCTATCAAATTCATTGTGGAAAGTTGGGCTCTTGGTGCAAGCCATGTCTCATAACAACAGGGATAGAATAAAGCTGTTGTGAAAGATATATTTCCAAATGCCTCTGAAGATTGTCGAAAGTTGATTTCTTTTCTCTTACAGATATTGTGGATGCTTTATCAGATCCAAAGAAATTTTTGTCTATCACAGAAAAAAGAGCAGACCAAATGAGAGCTATGGGTATCGAAACCGTAAGTAGAACTTAATGACTAACACAGCCCATGTACGTTCACACTGTGTTCTTTTTTTAAAGTAAACTGGTCCTTCTCCAGTCGAGGCATGTTGCCTTGTCATTTCTCATTTTCAAATATAAGCTGCTTTATCTGGGTTATGTTAGCTATCGTGTACTGAAGTACCATTCACGGACTGACTTCACGGAACACACTAACACATCCCTTAGAAGCAGAAATTTTAAGGAATGTGAAAGCAGCTGTATTTTAGTAGGTAGCTATTTCAAATAGGTTGCAAATACTTTACTATAGTGTTGTTTGAAAGTATGCTGCAATTTTACTATGTTCAAAGTAAGCAAGTTCTGAAATTTCCCCTACCCCAACTTCGATACTACTGATAAAAGAACAATTAACTTATTATGATGTGAATGTTTCTTTCAGAGTGATATAGCTGATGTACCAAATGACACTTCAAAGAACGATAGGAAAGGAAAAGCCAATAATCCCAAAGCCAACGTAACACCTCAGAGTAGCTCTGAACTTCGACCAAGTACTACTGCAGGCCTTGGATCTGGGACCGATGCTAAGAAAGGTAGACAGAAGTCACATGCCACTCCCTCTGTTCTGAAGGGATTTAGAAAGTAACAGAGAAGTACTTGTCACTCAATTTTAGTTTTGCAGCTCTATTCATTGTTATCCTTCTAGAAGGTAACTTCTTTTGTCATTAAGAGTTGTCTTTGTCTAATTGCAAAGAAATTTTGTATATTTCTAGAATAACTGTATAAAGCCAATATAGGTTTATTTTACTGAGTGACTTCTGTATAGCTGGACACCTATAGTAGTAACCTGCATGACTCTAGGAGCAGTTTACTAAAGATCTGCCAATAGGAGTGACTATTACATAGCATACTCTACAAAAGCTCTTCTGCTTTTTTCTCCCTTCACAAATCCCTTGGCACAGTTGCAGATTTAAGTAATTAAAGGTACTTAGAATTCATTGGAATCTCTAGAGATTTCCCAACAATTAGAAGCTGTTTTCACTGTGTGGTTTTACTCTGAGTCATGATTATGGAAATGGCATGTTTATTGTAAAAAAAACCCAACCATATTAAGTGTGCTCATAAATGAATAACTATTTTTCCTCACTATTCACCATTCATTCTGCAAAATAATTTTATAGAGTCAGATGGGATTATTTGTTTCTCACATATCATCACAGGCAATGAAGATTAAGTGGGAAAACAAATTTGTGCAGCTGAATGGAACACAATAAATATTTCTGTTAATGGGCCACAAGAATTAGAATCTGGTTCACTTGCTCTCATCCCCCTTGGCCCAAAGGTATTGATAGAAGAGACAAGGAGCACTGGTGGCTCTTGTTCTTATACAGACATGGCTGAGTACACACATGTGAAGGGATCTCTTGAGAAACAAGATGCTATGTGTCAGGAGTCACTTTTGGCAATAAACCAGATTGTTTCTGGAACCTGAACTCTTTCAAAGTTCTTTCCTGGTGTAAACCTCAGATTTTATGCAGTGAGGTGTTTTCATATTTCATGATGCACAAGTATTAGTTTTATTGTGCATTAATTAAGCATGAAATTTGACAGGGTTGCCATGGAGTCAGACCAGGAGAACAAAGTAAATGAGTCTGTGTTTTAAAATAAAATCCTGAGGAAGTTTGTTTAGAACACAGCAGTCTGATGCAGCCCTGGTCTTAAACTGAGATTTCAGTACTGAACACGTTCCTGTCTGCAATTTTTGTCCATATTCTTGTGAGTTAAAACAGAGTTGTTCATTTTTATGTCTTTATTTTTGATTTCTTATCTCTCTGATCTGTGAAGATCTGAATAATTCTACCACTGTTACAATATAGAACTTGCCTTGCTATTAGAAGCTGCTTATCCAGCAAGATAGGGTGTCCAGGGAAGGCTTTCAAAAACACAAGAATGTTGAGGTTTTTTGTTCTCTGTCTGTAAGAGTTAAGTGATTTATATTTTGAAAACTTCCGCCTCTAGCTCTGCCTAAATCTGTTCTATTCTCATTTACTAGTCTAGTGTTGGTACTATATAAAAGAACAGAATCTTATGCATCTAAGAAAAGGAAAAAAAATTATATTCCCTAAGGAGATTGCCTACCTCCTCCCCGTTTTTTGTTCTTTTACAGCATCTGAATATTTTCCAGATAAATTTACCTTAATAGTCAGAAAGTCATTTCCAAGGCAGAGGAAATAGACACTATTAAGAGCTGTTAACTAAATATATTTTCAATATATTTATGTACAGGCAAATATTTCTTTGTAAAACCTCAGAAAAAACCTAAGAATTACAACTCTCATGGCATTGTATATACATTTTTATTAATAATTATATATAGGATGCACTTACTAGTTTTAAAAAATCATAGTGTGTCCCAAAACATTTATTAAAGCATAAACATGAAATGAGATTGGGTTTTGTTTGCATTGGAGTTAAAGTGATCAAAACATATTTTCATTCATCTCAGTAGTACTGTTAGTCATGTATCATTGATTTGTTTGTTGGATTGACTTTTCATTAGAATCTTCACTTCTTTTGGGTTTGTGTTTCTCCTCCATTTTTAATTCTCCTTTATTCTTGGAGTGTACTGTTGTTCTTTTCCCATAGCCTGGTATTAACCAAAATGCAAATTTTGCTTCCATAAGCATACACAGGCTGCAGGCAAATTTTCACTCTTAGAATCTTTGTGTTTTAAATTGAGAAGAAGTAGAGCTAACCTCAGTTAACCCTTTATGTGGTCATGAGGAATGTTACCCAGGAAGGCTCCTCAGGAAAGATGTGGTGCCAGAGCAATCTTCAGCTATGGACCAAAATTCTGAAGTTTTTGTCAGTCAGTTTTAATGATCATAAATGGTTTGCTGTGTTTTCAGAAAAGAAGCTCTTGCAATTCTTAGATTGCTGTGTTTTGACACTTCAGTCCAGAACTGTAAGAGATTAAAATACACTCATTGATTCATTTCTTTTTTCACAAGGTAATTGATTGAGCAGTGCATTGCAAGAGGAAATTAGCTGTATCTTAGCAGTATCTTGATGAATGATTAACCTGCAATTATTTTTTAATGTGATGAAAAACATCAATGAATTGCTAACTTAAATGTAGGTTTCTGTGGCAAAATTCAATTTTTAAAGTAGGAGATACACTTGTATGTATGAAGTTTTAGATAAACTGTATCCTTCCTAGGTATAGACCTTATTCCTCAAGTGAAGATAGAAGATTTAAAGCAAATGAAGGTAAGTATGGACACAAGATTTTCAAGATGTGTTCCTAATCTTTTGTTTTAAGTAGCCAGGATTTTACCTGGTCAAAGTCAATATGACCACAGAAAAATTGATCTAACTTCTCTTTTTGTAGGCTTACATAAAACATTTAAAGAAACAGCAGAAAGAGCTGAATGCCTTAAAGAAGAAACATGCAAAGGTATGATCATTAAGAGTTCTCTGAGCAACATACTGCAATTGAAAACAGTTGCAGTGCTCAATAGCACAGACAGATCCTATTTAAATTACAGGGAAAGACTAAGAAACAGTAGTTGAACAACCAAGAAAGGCATATGTGTTTTAAATGTACTGAAATATGCTCCAATGAGCACATTTTCCCTTTAGCAACCCTTTGTATGTCTCCCTGAGATTTGGTTCATATTTGTTTGACCCATATAAGCATCCAAGGCTCACCTTTTTCAAGTAATGATTTTATCTAGCTCCCTCTTGCATGACCTATTGACAGGCAGCTTGGAAGAAAAGGCAGTAATGATGAGAGATGGTGTTTCATCAAAGACAGGAACTGGAGAAACTACAAAATCACCAAAGAGAATGGGAATGTGTAATTGAAAATTGAAATGCCCTAGTCCTCCTCATTTATAGCTATGTTAACTGCTCTGTAGTCAGCTTTTTGCTTGGTACTGTTGGCAGTGATGTCCCAATTACATACAACACTATCACAAATGTCCTTTATATTAGAACATCACAACCAATTTTCTCCTGCCCTTTATCATTAGAAAACCATTGCTCTTGTTGCAGAAAGAGGCATAATAACTGAAGAAAGTTTCTTAAGTTGTGAATTTTGGCAATTCATGCAAATCCATTTAGGGGTTTGGGGGCAGTTACTCCCTTCCTCTCTTTGCTTGCAGATTTCACTGCAGTTCTGATGTAATGTAGTTGCCTGGTAATTTTTAATATTGGTCTTTGTGTTTATTTTCATGACTTTTTTGGGCATGGGACTCTGTACAGTGTAGTATGAAGAAATTGCTTTCAATAATTGGCACATTTATAGGGCTGTTAGTACTAAAAACTATACAAAAGACCTAAGTAGTTGCATTCCAGGCTCCTTACTGACTATGCAGAGGGGAAATGAGTGATTTCTCCATTTTAGTGTTGCATGCAAGACTCATGCTCAAGAAAAAGTGTCTGTCATCCACACTTATGGACATTGACAGTTTCTAGACCTTCATAGGGTTGATTTTTGGGGAGCTTCTTATTTTTAAACACTTAGTTTCTTATTCATTGGCCAACTTCCAGCAGTTTGCTGTAGAAATGTTGCTGTGGTTCTGTAGAATATAGCCATACTCAGTGATCTAATACATATGCCCCACCGTACTCTAGGGATATCTTAGCCAAGACTGCACTTCCTAATACTAAAAAAATTGATCCATCTGTTCAGGCTTGCACTTGCTTCCTCTAATCTGGAGGAAAAATTGCCAGCCACAATCTGAAGATGCTGTGCACTCAGAAGGGCTTTCAGCATTAGCTCAAGCACAGCTATTTCATGTCTGAGCCAGCCTGTGTCATGCTGGTCTTAAGTACAGAGTGCAAGTCTGCCCTAACATGAAAGTGCACACCCAGAGCATGCCTTGCTAAAGGCTCCAGTAAGGGCAGTTTCAAGCATTCAGAGAGTCTGAGCAGGAAAGTGCAACCATATTAACTCAGAGATGATCTTAGGGCAGCACTTGGTGTACTCATCACTGTTCTTAATGCATTTTATCAGCTGGGATGGAGCAGAAGAACTATGCAATTAATTACCCATGATCAACTTGAAGCTTGTGTATTAAGGAGACTGAACTTAAAAGTTCCAGAAATAGGCTGACTCTCATTTAACCATAGACACTCTGGAGTTATGGAGGAATAAGTAAAGATAAAGGAATTGTTCATGATGTTTAAGGAAACAAAAGTTGCTTTGGAAAATGCATTATGGAAAACGAAGGCAAGTGTGGAAGAGAACAGGTTGAGGAAAGGAGCTGTGATCTATGCAGTGTAGGAGCTAATCTGGTAGCCCTGGGCAGAGGTAGCTGAGGAAGCCTAGAGCAGTGAAGGGTTCCTTTTACTGACAGCATCTGCTCTATGTAGAGAAGTAGTAGCAGCTCCACTGAACTGCTGGCTGGTGGAGGTTGGTTGCTCTGTATGGAAAAATGTCAGTATGTTTTATCAAGGTATAGGACTGTTCCAGATACCACATTTCCAGATTAATACAAAAATTAAGTGATGCCAGGCTTCTCAGAACAAAACACTCTGTGGGTGTATTTCTTTGATGCTATCTTCTGTTTATTTACTTCTGTTCAGTGTTTCAGCCATTTTGACTCTAGCAACTGTGATAACATCCCCCTAAAATCCTTCTGCATATTATCACTAATTTGTCTTTCATCATGGCATACGCATACAGATACACATCACACACTATGACTTCACTTTATGATAGTTTTGGTATTAATCTGGGGTTTTTAAAGAAGGATGTTTGGGCAGGTGCAGTTACAGTCTTCAATGTTTTTTTCACATTTGTGTAGGAAAAATAAGACATCTAGTCTAAGCAGGATAGAGATCACCAGACTGGCAAAAATGTCACTGCTCTTAGTGACCAAATCCTCAGCTGAGTTTGTAGCGTGGCTGTGAAGGGGAAGTTGAAGGGAACAGAATGAATAATCTCCAGGCTGGTTTAGTCTCTAAAAACTAAGTCTGCATATGAATAAATGAAGTAGCACTGTGCTGCTGTTGGGATTGCTGAGGAGCAGATTATTGCTCTTACGAGCAAAGAACATGATTCAAACCTCGGCCCATTTTGAAGCTATCAGCCTCCGAGGCTGTAGTATTCCTTTTGTCTGACTTTTGAAAAATGGTGGCAAATGAACGTATTTGTCACCATTTTCAAAAGCTCCTCATTAGGAATAACTTCTCTGAATCTTAGGTCTGGTAACATGTGCTTTTGATAATTTTTAAATAGTATGTCCAGCCCCTTCTGCACATTGCAGAAATGCTTTTCTTTAAATAATGCGTTCATAAAAACACCTGCATTTGGCTGCTTTTTAAGGAAAGTGTTTCCTGCCTACATTCCTTGAAGTAACTCCAGTCTCCCAATGTGAATATTAATGTGCAGCTACAGAATGGCTGATGTGTCTGTGTTGAGGAATACATTCCATGCAGGTAGCTTGTTGTGCAGCTGCAGGTTGAGCTGTGGGTGGAGGAGCCCCAGGCAAGAGGCCATGAATGGCTGACCCTTTGTCCAGCCAGGTGACAGCCAAGGACCTCCAGACTTTGCTGCCCTTAGGCGGTGAGGGGATAAAAGCCCCACAGCATCTTTGTTGGGGTCCCCTCAGAGGCACTGGCTTGGGCTATCTGTTATTTAGTTTGCACCATGATTAAATTATTTTAAGGATCTGGTCATCTGAGTCTGTTCTATGGGAAACTTGGAGCCGAGCTGGTAGGGAAACCTGGTGTGACTAGGTGAGTATGGGGAGTGTCACTCTGAAAGGACTTCAGTCCCAGCTCAGGTGGTGCGAGAGTGCCAGAGGGCTCCAGGATGGTCGGACAGGGAAGTTTCCTTAGCAGTCTGAATGATGTCCACTGACTTTTTTTTTTTTTTTTCAATCAAGTTAGGTCTTGAGTATTGTTTAGGTAAATGGTCTGAGGTGGCATTAAAGGCAGACTGTCAGTAAAGGCAAGGAGATGGGCATATAAAAGAGTCTCAGTCACTGATTTCTTCTGTTAGCAGCCTGTTTTTATGGGCCCCTATTGAATTTTAATATTTTAC